TTTTTAAATCCAGGTTTTTCTTGGTCACACACGTCATATCTCAAGGGCTCAATAGTTGTTATCAGCTACAGTGTTGCACAATGCAGGTGCAGAACACCATTGCAGGTTGTTCCACTGGGCAGTGCTGCTCTGGGAGGACTATGAGTAACTGATAAATGGTCTCCGAAAGGGGAGTAGGAAAGCTGGGGAGGAGCATGGGAGGAGAATGTGTTTTTTATGTATAATATTTTGTAGTACTTTAATTTTCTGGTCACATATTTTGCTTCATATTTAAAAAGAAAAAAATTTAAATTTTAAACATGTTTTAAACACATAAATGATAAACCTAAAGGACACAGGTAAATCCCAGGTATCTCTAGCCTGGGGGTCACCTGCTGAAGGATGAGTGTGGCCCTCTTTCTGGGCAGGAGCATATGAAAGAACAGTGACAGGACGGCCCACAGGTACCGCCCCACATGTGACTCACACTCCCCAGTGCTGGAAGCTCCTTCTGTCCCCCACATTTCCATCCTCTCAACAATCTTATGAGGCCCTCAGGGTGATTATTGTTCCCATTTGTTTTCATTTCCTAGGGCTGCTGCAGCAACACATTACCACATATTAGATACCCAAAAAATACAGAAATTTTTCTGTCATGATTCTGGAGGCCAGAAGTTCAGGGTGTTGACAGAGTTGGTTCCTTCTGGAGGCTCCAGGAGAAAATTGTCTTCCATACCTGTCTCATTACTGGTGGCTACTGGCAATCCCATGTTCCATGGCTTGAAGGACATAGTTACATGGCTTCTACTGTGTGGCTCTGTGTCTCAAATCTCCCCTTCTCTTCTCTCCTGAGGGCACCAGTCATTGGATTCAGGGCCCACCCTAAATCCTGAATGATCTCAAGATCATTCAGGTGGGCCCTGAATTACAGTTGTCTCCCTTATCCACAATTTCACTTTTAGATTTCAGCTGCCTACTATCAACTGAGGCCCAAAGACATTAAATTAAAAAAAAAAAAAACCTCCAGAAGTAAACAATTCATAAGTTTAAAATTGCACACCACTCTGAGTTGGATGATGAAGTCTCCTGCCACCTGCTCCTTCCCAAATGGATATGAATCGCCCCTTACCCAGCATATCCAGGCTGTATATGCTACCTGACCTTTGGTCACTAAGTGGCTGTCCAGGTTATCACATCAACTTCGTGAACTTGAAGTTAAAGTGCTTGTGTTCAAGTAACCCTTATTCTATTAATAATGACCCTAAAGCACAAGAACAGAAATGTTAGAAATTCAGATATGCTCAAAAAAAAAAAAAAAATAAAAAGCTAAAATGTGCTTCCTTTAAATAAAAGATAAAAGAAAATAAGATATTTTGAGAGACCACATCCACATAACTTCTATTGTAGTATATTGTTATACTGTGAATTTTATTATTAGTTATTGTTAATCTCTCACTGTGCCTAATTTATAAATTAAACTTTATCATAGCTATATATGTATAGGAAAAAACATAGTATATTGAGGGCTCAGTACTATCCCTGGTTTTGGGCATCTTGATTCCCATCTTGGGAATTCCCATCTTTGGGCATCTTGATTCCCAAAGTGGATCCTCCATGGATAAGGTGGAACTACTGTACATCTGCAAAGACTCTATTTCCAAATAAGGTCACATTCACATGTATTGGGGGCTAGGACTTGGATATATCATTTAGATGGAAATGATTCAACCCACCATTTTACACACAAAGGGTGCAAGGCTCAAAGGGCCCTTCACTGAACTGAGGTCACAGAGCTGGTTCAGGGCAGAGGCCTGCCAATCCTTCCATCATGGACTTGGGCAAGAGGGACGCACATCTTCCCGCTTGAAGCCCACCACTCCCTCAGCCTTGTACAGCTGGCTTCACAATGGGCGACATACACAAAGGAACTGACCTCTTCTCTGGCCTCCTTATCTGCCTGCCGCCTGCTAGGATCTAACAAAAGATTACACTGTCTCCTTGGACCCTGGGAAGGAACTGGGCCAGGGGATCTGTGGGTATCTCAGATCAGACAGGGATCCGAACTACAGAGGGTGGTCTGCATCTCCAGACTCTGAAGACTATGGGGCTTTTTGATCAAAGCCAGAAAGAAAGGGAGAGAGTTCAGAATTCTGGTGTTATAGAGAAAAGCCTCTGTCCTTTTCCTGACCAGGGGAGCCTGTGGCAGCCTCCTGGGGTTTGTGTTGATGAAGAACTCTGGTCCCCAAGCCAGAGGTGGCAGGAGAGACAGAATGCACACGGGAAGACGAGGACCCTGCTAAGATCACTGAGCTGCATCCCCAGGGCCACCCTGACCACACAGGCCAGGACAGCTGAATTGCAGCCAGGAGACCCTGAGACAACAACAGCACAAGCTCACCACAGGTAGGGCCTCCCTGGAAGGCAGGGAGAACATGAGCCCCACTCTCCGCTGGCCTAGAGGTTTTGCCCTAGTGCCGATCATAATCCCCAAAGATACAACTCTGGAATGCCTTCATTCCAAATGTTGAAATTCTCAAAGAACAAAATCCTAAAAGTCTAAAAATCCCTAAAGCTCAAAATCCCTGAAGATCATAATCCCCAAAGATTGAAATCCTAAATGTTGAAATCCTAGAAGCCACAATTCTGAAAACCACAATTCCCAGGGATGGGCGTAGGGGCTCTATGAGGGGTAAGAAGCCAAATTTAGTAGAAGGAATTAGTGGTTTTGGGTTGTATGCAGGTTAGCGGCCAAAGTTTTCATTCATGTCTTACTTCTGCCCTTTCACATACAGTGCCATAATGTATGCCCTCTGTGGGAGAATATAAACAATTTGACAAACTCAGCCACCTTCTGATATAGTCCCTCCAGTGTTAGAAAACACATTAAATGGTGAACTTCTCTTGGTTAGGAATCTGACTATACAAGAAGAAAGTCTTGGGGCTGTGGTTGTGGCTCAGCACTTGCCTAGCATTTGTGAGATACTGGGTTCAATTCTCAGCACCACATATAAGCAATAAATAAAGAAATGTCCATCAATAACTAATAAAAAATATTTTTAAAGAAAGAAGAAAGTCTTCTCCTATTTACCACTAAATCCATAAAGTATTCTCCTATTTACCACTGAATCCATAGAAGAATTAATGCATGTTTCACTTTGACTAATGGATGGTGCTTTCAAAACTGTTCAAACATCTCACTAGTTCTTTACCCCCATGAGCTTCCCATTTTATATATTTTGCAGACTACCCCAAACTTCATCTGTGGGTTTAAATTTGTTTCCTCATTTAATTGTGATTTGTGACTTCTTAATGTTCTAATGTGTCTTTGTGATGTCTTTTTTCCCCTCCTATTAAAATCTCAGATTCCCCAGTCACTGAGCTGCCACTGGGGACTCAGTAGCCTCTCCCTTCTAGAACCTCCAATCTTTGACCTCTCTGCTGGTGCATGTAAGGGTGATGAATGGCTTCCTGCTGGCTCTGAGGATTACATATAAGAATTCAATAGAGAAATGGCAGGAAGACCCTTACTACTGCCCAAGGAATTCCTGATGATTATGATAAAAAAAAAAAAAACTAGTGAAGCCTTTAAAAAAAATTTATAGCTGTAGATGGACAGATTTTTTTTTTCTTTTTTTTGGTATATGGTGCTAAGGATCGAACCCAGTGCCTTGCACATGCTAGGCAAGTGCTGTGCCACTGAGCTACAGCTACAGCCCACTAGTGAAGCCTTTTAAGAAGAAATTTGCCACATGGAACAGTAATTGAGCACCCAGACTATGGAGAAGTAATTCAGCTGCCTGGTGACCAGAGCAAGAACATATGCCAGTTCCTGGTAGAGACTGGACTGGTTAAGGATAATTAGTGGGAAATTCATGGGTTTTAAGTGCTTGTGGCTCACTGAAGCTTAAGTGAGGATTTCCTTGCAGTGAATAGAATTTCCCTTCTGTCCCTTGTCACAAATTTAAAAGCCTCACAGCTTTTCACTTGGACTAATGTTAACTCCTTCATGCAATAAGTTGAAAAGAGCCAAAAAGAAATATTTTTTTCAGACGTCCTAGGGTAGCTTTGGTTTAACCATAAAATCTCTCACTGGGCCCTCAGAGACTGAATTTTCCCACCATGAGATTCATCTTTGCAGAGGGGCCTCCCAACCTTGAGTTATTAGTTATCAGTTTGGTTTGAATTTAATTTCTGGAGCAGCTAAAGTAGAGTAGAAAATGCTGGACAACTTTGCTAGTAGGAGTGACAGTGACAGTGAGGACAAGCCTGAGATACATTACAAGGTTCCACTCTTTCCCAGGTATTATATATCCTCCTGTGCAAGGATTATTCTAACCCTGAAAACACCAGGGTTAGAGACTACACACCAAAATTCTCCATCATGATCTGTACAGAGCTCCCCTGAAGACCACCAGAAGGCCTGATGGTAGGAATCTGAATTTGAGCTACGTGGATTGGGAATCAGCAAATCTGGCTTTATTCACGACCCTCCTGATCCACAACAGCAAAACCGAAGACTGATATGATAATTTGAATGACCCAGGCAAAGCTTCCTGTTCCCCTCCTCTGCTTCCACCAAAAGAAATAAAAACAAAAATTCTGTTTTCACGAGATTATTTACTCCTCACTTCTGAAACAGAGCTCTGGCCACAGGGTTAATACCAAGTGGATGGTGTCTCCCATTGGTTCATTTCTGTTTCTCCATCTTTAAAATGGGACATTTGACCATTACTTTTGACCATCTATGCCTTTATTCTAAGTTATCTCTAACACTTTCTTAGTTTCTCTGCCAATGCCTCTAATCAAACCAAGTCAGCTCATCTTGCTGGAATCGTTGACCAATGAACCTGACAGAGAAGACATAGGCAGGAAGATCCCAGGATCATCCACAGGGTACAAAGTCCCCAAACCCCAGATGACCCTCTTGGCCATGGATGTCTTGAGCAGTTACAACCAGGGAGATGAGATCAGGGTCAGGCTTATAGAAGCTGGGAACTGGCGAGGAGTGAATGTCCACTTACCTGGGGGGCAGATGCACTCAGATGGAGCCTCCCGCACAGTCCGGAGCTTGACAAGTCCATCCAACTTCTGAACCGAGAAGGAAAGGGGAGAAAAAAATGAGGATGAGTTTCAGAACAGAGACAGATAAAAGAGGAAAAATTATCAAAAGAAAAGTATCCAGATGATCTATAGTGGCCATGGCATTTTCCAGAGCATTTCTTGAAAGGTCATTAAATTCTAAACACAATTTTCAAATGAGAAGAAAAGCAAAAACAAACATTGAACAATTACTGAGTCCTTGAAAAGAAGGTTTCTGCTTTGTTACAAGTTCAAATACAATGCCAAGAGCTAAAAGCAATAGAAATGGCTTCTCCAAAGTCAAGGAAAGTCAAGGTGACTGTCAGTCACACTAAGAAGGGAGAGAGGAACAGAGAGAGGCTTGGGTGGGTAAATCAACACTGGCCCTTGTAGCGGCTCTCTGGATGCCCAAGATCATCCCATCCTCACCCAGGAAGCCCCCAGGCCCTCAGCTGCAGCCCCTCTCAGTCCACAGCCTTGATCTTGATGGCCCTGGTCTAATTTACCCTGAAAGTTCCTTTCTTCTTTCCACTGGGGATCCTTGGCCTGAATAATTTGGCTCAGTACAACTTCACAAAAGTCTCTGCACATGCCCAGCCCTGTGCTAGACATGAGGAAGAGGGAAAGAATTACCACATAGAGTCAAAGGCCACAGCTATGCTACACTATCACACAGGGACAGCTCCAGCATATTCAAGGTCTGACTTGACCCTGAGGGTGACTTTTCAGACCAAAATTAATAGTCCCTGCCTCATAAGGAGGGGATGCAACTTGAAAAAGAGGAATTTATCCCAAATCCCCAAATCTAGGTTTAGAGGAATTAAATGATTGGCCTGTCATCCTAAAACTAGGTGGGATCTGAGTTCTGACAAGGATACACCAAGTATCAACCTTTTTTCCTAGGAGGGAATATAAAACCCTAAAAGCGAACGAAACAAAGTAACAAGTCTGTTCATTTGAGTGTGCAGGGTACTTACTACTATCAGGATCTGTACTTCCAGTTAAATATACAGAAACATTTTTTTTTTCCTTTGTGCAGTGCATTCTAAGAGCACGCTGTACCACTGAGCAATATCCCAGCCCCAAGAAGTAGTCAGGCTCCTGAAGCTTCCCCTAGGCTTATCTGTTTGCATGTACTTGTAAAATCCAATTTTAGCAAAGAACCCTGCTAAGTCAGTTTGGCAAGAATCTCTTACCCTTGATATCTTATCACCTTGGGTACCTGATGAGGCTAATCACCCTCCGCCATGCTCTAGGTGATATCTGGTCATCCTGGCCTGTTTTCAGCAAGGATCCTATTAGGTCAGTTTAACTAGCATCTCCCTTATCCCTGAGATTTCCCCTTAAGTAACATTCTATCCACTGACTCCACCTTGCTCCTTAGCTAGAAATTCCCATTTGCCCATGCCATGTTTAGAATTGAGCTTAATCTCTTTCCCACTGCAAAATTCCATTGCATGGTCCCTGTACCTTTCTAAATGGTCTTTGAATAAAGTCTGCCTTACTGTGCTTTAAGTGGGATCATGAAATCATTTTTCCTTTTAACGTCATGCCTTGAATTCTCACAGAAGACAGGATTCCAGTTAATTCCCAGGTGCCTGTGGCTAGAACAGCCCAGGACCAGGAGTCTAAGGCTAAAAATGCAACCCAGGTGGTTCCAGATGCCTGAGCAAAGCACTTTGGAGATCCACATCCAGCATAACCCTCTAGCCTCTCTCTCATTGTACAGAGGTGGACAGGGCTGAGCTGAAACAGGAGGTTAAGGCTGACAAGCAGTAAAGGAACACTGGTTATTGACACTGCATGGCAGTCAGAAGATGCAGTTGTAGCACACTGTCACTGTGCTAACTTCATCCTTGCTACACTCCCTGGCCCTCCAAAACCCCCAACTTGCCCAGGAATTGGATCCTCACTAGGCTTCCAGACACCAGCCTCTCATCTCCCACCTGGAACCTCCACTTGCCACTCACTCCTGCTCCCACCTGGAGCCACCACTTAGCCCAGAGTGACCCTGTGAGCGGCTGGGGCTGGCTCTCGACCTCCAGAAGTCCTCCACAGTTATCATGACTCCCCTGGGACAGGTCACCTGTTCCACCACAGGGAGCAGCAGACATTCCTGGTTCCTCTCTCCACCAGGCTCAAAGCCCTGTGGGGGGCTGAAGTTTATGAATGAGAGTCTGGAAACAGGATGGCCATTCCTGCCCTTGGAAGCCTCTGCAGAAACGGCAGGCTTGAGCAGGACCTTGGAACTCACTCTCCATCACATTTGCGGATGCTATAGCAGATTCCAAAATGTACTTAGGAGAAGAAACCAGCCTTCTAGTTCAAACTAGACAATTTGTTCAAGAAGTTCTCATCTGTCTCTAGCAATGCTAGACAGAAATGACTGCCTTCTTAATTTCCTGTTTCTAACAAAAGTACTTAATACTAAAAGCAATTAGCTTTTAACAAATGCTATCACAAGTGGGCCTCTCTCCTAAAGGGTAGGGGCTTAGTCACATACTGATAAGAAACACATGACTTTAGATTTACTTTCATCTTAAAATAAGGTGAGACGTGGAACCATAGATGGGAGAAGAAAAAATTACTGTGGAACTACTAGGTGGGACCAGAAATGGCTGGGATTGAGTTTTTGTTTTGTCATTTTTCTAAACTCTGCTAATACGTTTCTTTTCTAGATCAAAAGATGAAACTGCAAAGTTTTTTTTCTTCTAGTCCCCCCCTCCCCCACCTCCAGGCCCCTCCCTTTCTGTGGTTTGAAATGTTGCTACTATGAACTGAAGTGAAATGTTTGAATTAGAAACCCAAGCCCACAATCTTTACTTCATGCTCTTTTCTTTTTAATTCTAAGAAAATACTCTTGTGTGTCCAGGTTTGTAAAAAATGATTTAAAAGCCTCAACTTTTTACATTCAATTATCTGGCAGCACCCCTAGCATCTGCAAACAATATGGTCCTGTTTTTACATATGCAAACAAGTCCTTCCTCTCAAAGTAAATAAAGGATGAGTTTCTGAGAAAAGACTTGAGAGGCACCGCTTCCAGAAGCCCTGAGAAGGAGAACTGGAAGTTCGGGAGGAAGGGGTGGTAGGCATTCAAGAAACTGAATCAAGGGAAAATCATGGTTTTCAAAACATGATCAGATGATAAATTTACTAATGATCTGCTGGGCCATTTAACTGGGGCACTTTGCCACGTTTGATCACATCCTCCAATGGGTTCGACTGGGTGAAATACAGACTGACAGTGAAAAAAATAAGGGTTGAGCTGGAGGTGGTGGTATAGGTCTATAGTATTAGCCACTAAAAACCTAATGCTTGAGTCCCGGAAGCCCCAGGCCATTCTGGGCAACATAGACCGGTTCAAACACAAACAATGCTGGGCATGGTGGTGCACCCCTGCAATCCCAGCAGCTTGAGAGGCTGAGGAAGGAGGATCACGAATTCAAAGCCAGCCTCAGCAACTTAGTGAGGCCCTAAGCAGCTTAGCAAGATCCTGTCTTTAAATGAAATATAAAAAATAATTGTGGGGGCTGGGGATGTGGCTCAAGCGGAAATGTGCTCGCCTAGCATGCGCGGGGCGCTGGGTTCGATCCTTAGCACCACATAAAAATAAAATAAAGATGTTGTGTCCACCGAAAGCTGAAAAATAAATTTTAAAAAAATCTCTCTCTCTTAAAAAAAAAAAAAGAATTGGGGATGTGGCTTAGTGGTTGAGTGCCTCAGGTTCAATTCCTGGTACCAACCCCCACCCCAAAACAAAAACAACAAAGGATGAACTGATTTATTTCTGTAAAATGCTGCAAATAAAGCTATAGGACATTCTTATTTTTCGGCTCAAAATTCCTACTCTGGGGGGCTGGGGTTGTAGCTCAGTGGTAGAGTGCTTACCTAGCATGTGTGTGGCACTGGGTTCGATTCTCAGCACTGCATATAAATAAATAAAAAAGTTTTATCAACAACTAAAAAAAATTTAAAAAATTCCTACTCTGGGAAATATATTTCAAGGAAATAAAGCAAGAAGCAAAAAATGATATTTATGAAGAAATTGCACACAAAACAAATGGTCTAGAGAAGGTCAGGGAATCTGCTTGATGGAACTGTCATGAAATAGCATTATAAAGACTATGTAAAAAACATGTCTATGATACGGTAAATAACACATCTACATCTATGGAAAAAGTCAGGCATTAAGGAGACAGCAATTACCAAAATGAAACCCAGTTGGATGTGCAATCATGGTGATATTCTTCTTTAAAAAGTTTATTCTAGCTGGGTGGAGTGCCCATGCCTTCAATTCCAGTGGCTCAGGGAGGCTGGGGCAGAAGAATCCCAAGTTCAAAGCCAGCCTCAGCAACTTAGTGAGGCCCAAAGCAACTTAGCAAGACTCTGTCTCAAAATAAAAAATATAAAAAGGGCTGAAGGTGTGGCTTGGTGGTTAAGTGTCCCTGGGTTCAATCACCAGGACCCACCCTCACCCAAAAAAGTTCATTGTAAAAAAAAAAAAAAAATTAAATCTTGAAAACACAGGGGCTGGGGCTGTGTCTCAGTGGTAGAGGCCTGCCTCACATGTGTGGGGCATTGGGTTTGATCCTCAGCACCACATAAAAATAAATAAATAAATAAAATAAAGGTATGTGTCCATCTATAATTAAAAGAGATATTTAAAAAAAATCTTAGAAACACAGAAGGACCAAGTTGAATTGTTGAAATCTCCTGGTAAAGAGCAATATTAAAAATGAAGACAGACGATTCTGTCTTCTAAGGGACAGTCAATGCCAATACTGGCCCTTTTAATACATACATGACACAAATACCAGAGGACAAATCAAACCCAAAGTCACATGTCCTCTGCCCTCTTTCTACCCCATAAGGAAAGACCCATACATGCATCCTCACTGCCACCAGAAACCTAAGAGGGCAGGATTTCCTGACCTCTTTAAACATTCTTTTTTTATACCCCACCATGATAACAACAATAATGGTGATAATAATAATAACAAGTATAAGCT